CTTACTGGTTGACTGCGTGATGCATGAAACCTTGTAGGATGACCATATGCTTAAAACACAAAGGATGGTAGCTAGGAACCCAAAAGTCTGGAGGAGAAAACAAACAAACCACAAATACATACAGAACATTAGATGACACATTCCATGAATGTGTGGACATTCCTGTATATTCAGCTATGTATTTTACAATAACAAACTCAAAAAAGTGATTTTTTTTTTACTCCATTCTGCCAATATAATAAAAACATAAACATCCCCATAGTATAATAAGCAGTTAGTTATGTCTTGTCAAAACAACAACAGAAAGAGAGACAAAGGGGAGAGAAAAAGCTGGACAGCAGCATAGTCTCTACTTCTCACTAGGGTTCTGCAATAAAGACTTTTTCTCACACCTTTGATTACTGTTCTTTAATTGCCCCATTCAATCAAGTCTTTCCCTGCCATATGCCAAGCAAACAAGTCAGGTAAAACAAGCCTTCTAGTCCGTTTACATCATCAGGACTAAGTTTCTGAAAGTAACTCTTTATTCTGGAGGAGCTGTTTTTCAGGTCCTGTTGCTGTGAAACCACTGCTGCCCACACTCTGAAGTCATGCCTCTCTCTCTCAAGCCCTCCAGCCAACAAGAGGCAGAGATTATCTTTTAGTAAGTCAGCCCAGAACCCCAGTGGCTTTTAGCTCAGGAGAAATGATCTTGAACAGGGCTCTGTTCAGGAGCAGGAGGTCTCAGAAGCTGAAGACTGGGGTGAAATCCTTTCAGTAACTTCTAGCTGCTGCAACAGCCATTTGTCAAAACTGAATTGTCTTAATTCTTGCCCTAAACACATTAGTTCCTATGAGTTAAAGCAGAGGCCTTTGGTTTCAACTCTCTGACAGGACAAATAAATACCCACTTTAATGGCGAGTCTGGAGTCTCACAACAAAATGTTTTTGTTGGCATTTTGCTACAGAGCATTCACTGAAATGAGCTAGAAGGTAGTTCACACACTCAAGGCACAAGCAGGGCAAGTTTGTAAGAAAATAAAATTACAAGAAATAGATTTCCAATGTCCTACTTAATATATATGGCAATTAAAAAAGTGTCAAGACTAATAAACAGTCTTACCGCTCCAGCCACAAGTCCAGTCAAATTGTAACTCTTGGATGCTGCTACAATCGATGCAATAAGAAGCAGAATTGTACCGATTAGATAATGAAGAAACTCCTGGAAAGACAAGCACAGCCTGCATCAGAAGGGAAACTTATTAGGAAAGCATTTTGGTATGCCTCAAATGAAAATAAGTTGCAGAGGTTACTCAAACCCAGAGGACAAAACACCAGTCAAAAGAAGAAAAAAGTGGGAGAGGAGAGGGAGGGAGACAGACACTCAACTTGTGAGTGAATTTTGTACCTTACCTGAATTTCTGTTCAAAAAGGGCCAATCTTCGGGTCTACTAATGTCACTGGAATGACTTACTGGTATGGATGCAATCCTTTCAATTCAACATGGTACTTTACTGAGGGTGAAGCACCAAGCATGCACCTTACTTAAAGGGACAGTTCTGGAGGAAGGAAGAAGCCTTAAGGGCATATCTCTCTAGCCTATATGAAATGGCAACAAATAGTCGAAATGGAAAACCAAATGCTCCTACTTCTGATAATCTCAGAAAGTAAGCAGTGGATCTACTGCTGGATTTACTAGCAGCTTACATCAACCAAGACTGGAAACAAACGGGAAGCCATGAAAAGCACGACTGTGCAGACACTCATAACCAACACCCAGGCTCCTAAGTCTGCAAGGGTGGCTGCAGTAAAACATGATGCCATGGGCTTTTCTGAGACATCACTGAGGCATCACGTGTAAGCTTTCTCTGGTGTGACAAGTATCAGTCCAGGACTCAATTTTAGCTTGTTATAAGCAGGGGTTTTCTATGGATTTAGATTACAAATCCTCACAAAGCTTATAGCAACCAACATGGGTGTTTGCAAACTGAACATGGGTTGTTTCTCTTGCATGGTGGGGTGGGCAGGAGTGCTTACTTTATCTGCGTTGCACTACCAGCATGAGCCAAGCAAATGCCATGTATAAGGGAGAGGAGGGATTCTGTACCTAAACAAAGGAGAGGGAATATAGTTCCAAAAGGAAATTGTCCAAGGAAATCCCGGAAGACAAATAAGTCTGTTATAGCATAGCACAGTTTCCCTTTGCTCGGGTGTTTATAAGCAGCCGAGGAGGATCTTTGCCATAAAGTAGGCTCTGAGTTTGCAACTTATGTTCCTCATTTGTGACCTTGTTTCAGGTAACCAAGATCTCAACTCTTGCTTTTGCTAGATTAAAATGTTTTTGTAAGGAGGCTTCTCTGGCTAGTCCACAGTGTGGCAGGCAAATCAGGCATGCCATTGCCTCCTCAGGGACACCAAATAAAGCAGTGTACAGTGTACACAGCCCACTATTTTAGAGGAATCCAAGGGATAGGCAAAGGTGCAAAAGAATCCTCAAAGGATAAATTAGGTAGAGAACCAAGCCCTGGCATGACCAGGAGAGTGTCCCTCTGGAGAAATACTTCCCAGCTTTAAAAGCTGTCAGTGACGAACAACTGCAACTCCACCTACTGCAAATCACACCCCTGACTGCAATGTAGAGACCCCGCCAGGAAACTCGCCAAACACTAGCTGTAATTTCCCAGAGTCTCTTACACATCTTCCTATTCTGTTCTAAAGATACTTACATATGTGACTGAAAAGGAGATGGGTTGTAAAAGAGCACCAGTGTTCAAGCATCACATTCCATACAGCTATCTGAAGCTGAGTAGCCATAAACTGCAGTGCCTCAAACTCACTAGTGACTCTGGAACACTCAGGAATGATTAAACACACAACAAGAAACTAAAGCAGCCTATGCATAATCCTGTTATAGCAATGCACACATTAAATACTGCTTTCCAAACCTGTCATTCATTATCTTATTTCAATCCCTGCATCTGTATTATCTCAGATAAAGGAGTATTTTCTAGAGACAGATAGTGGTGGTACACATTTGAGAAAATAAGAAGGGGTGCAAGTATAATCATATTCTTCAACTAAAAAGAAAAATCCATTTTTTTCCTCCGGGTAGAAGTGGATGGATGGACAAACAGTTCTCTTAGATCTGTAAACTACTTACACAGCTTCCATTAAACACCACCCAACCACTTCCTGGATTTCTAAATCCCTCTATATCTCTCCAGCTGGCTTTTCCCATCCCTTTGGTCTTTCCTCTGTGGAACTAATGTGTTACTATGCACATAAGGGAGATATGTTCTACGGGGTTATTAAAATCTGTCATCCCACACTAGGATGCAGGACTCTTCTGTCAAATGACCTGACCCAAAGCTACTGAGGAAGTTCAGGTCTCGCATTTTCTGTGCTGCTTGTTAGTTCTCTGCTAGGATATGAGAGATGAATGTGCAGGGGAAATGCAGGAACGAGGCAGGAACATCCTACAGGATATCCCAGGAATGCCCAGGCTATGACAATGAGGCTAAGGCTCCTATTTCTTGCTATTGTTTAAGTTACCTAAAACCATACCGAAAAGAGACGCGCTTGACTTAAATAGCGGTCACAGACTTTATTTTGGGACAGGATGTAGTACATAAATTCTAATGCTATGATTTGGTACTCTACCAATCTCCTAGCTACTATAAATAATCTGAGCTAGGACCCATCTGCTGAAGGCTTGATAATCACTAGCTTCTTTTCAATTGTCTCAGAATAACACTATTGCCTTCCCTAGAGTAAATCTGTATTGATATCTGTGTGAAGGAGGGCAGGATCAGACCCAAATCAGCTTAAAAAATACAACAATTACAGCATGTGCTGAATTGAATACTAATAACAAAAGCAACAAAAGGATTTGTATACAAGACAGAAAAGAATTATGTTCCCATATATTATATAGGAAGACAGCCTATCATTGTGTAATAGCACAAGAAAATGGACTATGTAATCGAGCCATCAACCCAAAAGAGAGGCAAGGAACCCAGACCATCCAAGTGGCTTACCGCGAGCGGCCAGCTAACACAAGTGAGCTTCCTGTAGATTCTGAAGATGTGGATAATGTAGAAGAACAAAATCATAACCAAGTCACACATGGTCACAATCTGAAAGTAGCTGTATGCACTGTAATCTGTCCATGGAGAATTATTCACACTGATAAATCCAACCACCAGTGAGATCTGAAAGACAAAAGGCACATTAAAGATTTTTACAACGGTGCCTCAGAGGGACATGGAGATCATTTTAAACGCAACAAAATGGCACTTAGAGAACAAATATCTAATGTAAATTGGGAGGTCACAACAAAATGTAGGACTAAGTAAGAAGCATGATAATAATGTTTTAAAATTTGCTGTTAAAATGATCTGTAACAACCACTAAGAGTGGGGAAAGAGCCAACTGCTAGAAGGAAAGCAGCAGTTTCAGCCTGAAGAATCCAACCTGAAGAAGTCTCTATGTACAACATGAAAGGTCTCAAATAGAGAAGAGGCATTGAATGCCAGGAATTGCATCAGTGGCTGAGGCATCTAAACCTCAAGGACTTTCAGAAGGAAATCACCGAAAGCTGTGAAAATGAAGGTGTCCATGAACACACACACCTTTACTGCCATTTAGCGAGATTACTCACATGCAAATTCAGAGGACCTGGCTGCAACTAAATTGACAGTTTTACTCCTCCTTTTCTACCACCTACTGAGAAGGAGGGTAAGCGGACCACAAGGTAGAATCAGGACAAATAACATAAACATTTGGAGGAATTGATTTATTCACCCCATCCCCCAATACAGTAGCTATAAAGCTTTAATATGTTAGCACTGTCACATAAAACTATACATTATTGTATATCTTCTTTCAGTTTCAGGCTTGCAAAGGACAGAAGCTATTTTATTTCTTTTTTTAATCTAAAGCTACTTGTTTATTTTATTGATCTTGCTGCTTCTCCAGCCTGGCTAGCCAGGGTGACAAAAATAAATCTACCCAGGACATACCCAAATATTTTCTTACTACAGAATTTGTCAATGCATGTTTTCAGCCACTGTAATTTTTAGTTCATCCAAAGCCAGACAGAAGCAGTAATGATTCACATTTTAACTGTTTCTCTATTCCTACCTGAGGAATCCAGTACTTCAAGACTGCACCATCCTCTCCTGCACTCGTATTCCAAACTCCTAACCAACTGCACCCATTATCAGAATTATTTCCTTAAAATTAAAAGGGGAAAAAAGAAAAGCCAACAAACCCAACATTCAAACAACATAGCCTAGATTTTCCTTGTTGTAATGTTAACTAAGTTGCACTTGCTCAATTCTAAGTGGACAGGCCAAACATATGCATCGTCAAGGGCAAGCGAAAGCTCTATACACACATAAGAACTTTGCAAGAAGAAATAAGAGGTTACAAGGAGCCAAAGTAGTCAGTGAAGAATCTGCTCAGCTACTAAGAACAGGGTAGAAAGGTGGATCTGAACAAATGCGCTTTCCGTTTCAAGTGTACTTCACAATTAAAACAATTCCAAACCCAATTAGTAAAGAGCATCCCTTCTTCGATTTTAGATGTGCCTCAACACACAGGTAGGAAGAATTCACTGCGTGGCAAGAGGTATGTTTTTCACAGGTTTCCTTTCTTGGCATAAATTTCACAACATGAGATTGATGTGCAATTTCTAAAGAGGGTTCTCTGATCAGAGGCACATAACGCTATTTCACAGGACCATATCAACAACTTTATATAAAGCTATACCATGTTTGTCACACTACATTGCTCGCATGACTAGCAGGTACAGTCTGAGTTTAAAACTCACCTGTTGAAAAAGAATGCTAACAAACGTAGGAAATAGAGCCACATGATATTATTTGTCCTTTAAGAGTGACAAATACCAAGTTCCTTCACCAGATATTGGTTTATCATGATACACCGGGTGATGACTGTGGGATTTTTTCCCCTGGAATTCCTGTTCCCAGAGAACTTGAAAGATAAAATGATTAATACATAACTGTCTGGGATGCAGTTTAACATATATCTTAGAAGTCAGTTGGTAGCACACAGAGAGAGAGATAGGAGAGAAATGAATGGCAAAGCACTAAAATGATCAAATATTATGAGTGTTATCTAGGCATCCGTGCTCGTGGAGCAGGTTACTACATGTTAAAAACAAAAACTAGAGGCACAGAAAAAATTAGGGCACTGCCATTTCCATTTTAATATAGTATTTCACAGATTGTGAGAGCAGTAGACATGTATCCCATAGCCAGCAAGCCAGTCAGACCAGAAGTACAGGTCAAATGGTGGTCAGTCTCATCAGAATATTTCAACGTGCTCCACAAAATATATCCAGGCTTCAGACCTGCATTACAAAAGGAGTGAGGGACACATTGCAGGACACTACTATCTAAGTACTTTCTCATTTCTGAAAAGCAAACCAAGCATCAATCATCTCCATGGAGAGATTTTTTTATTTCAATGAAGTTACGTATTTACTCTGTTTCGCAGAAATTGGTCAGCTTAAACTAGTCCACTTCTTGACTTCCCATTGGACCAGATATTTGAAGCGAGTCATGAATTGTGTTTAGGAATGCTGAAACTATCTCACAGTGAAGCCAATGTGAGCTAAAAGCAGTCAGCAATTGCCAGGAGGCACTCAACACCCTACCAGATGGAACAGGCATCATAAAGGGAAGATGGTAAGAGCCTGCATTCTCTTCTCTATTTTGAGCTGGAGACAAGGCAACCACATCCTCTGCAACACGCCTGTGGAAAATGTTGGCTCTTGAATAGCACTGGCATAAGCTCCCAAGCCTAAACTCCATTCTGTTTTGAAGTGAGTACTGCTCTATCAAAAATGAAACATAACTTTACTCTTTTTTTTATCATCTATAAACTTGCTGAGGATGCAAGTGCATTAATGACCATCCTCCAGGTCATTAATGAAGATGTCAAACAGCACAGGCCCCAGTGTTGATCCCTGGGTTGCACCACTAGTGACTGGCCTCCAAGGATCTTGTGCCATGACCCTCTGGGCCTGGCCACAGGTTTTAATCCACCTCATGGCCTGCTTGCCTAATCCATATTCTGTCATCTTGTCTATGAAAGGTAAACTAAGATGAAAGAAAACAACATCCACCAGTCTCCCCTTGTCCACCAAGCTACTGACCTCATTTGAGAAGGCAGGAAAGCTGGTCGAGCATGGTTTCCCTTTGTAAATCCATGCTGACTAGTCCTGGTCACCTTCTTGTCCTTCATGTGTTTGGAAATGCTTTCCAGGAAGATTTTCTTCATCACTTTCCAAGGGACTGAGGTAAGGCTGACCAACCTTTAGTTCCCTGGACCTTCCTTCCTGCCCATATAGATGACATCGATCTGTTCAGAATGGCACACTTTCCTTCTGCACCTCTCAGGCTAGAGAGGATAGGAAAGGACTGGACAAGAGTGATAAATTCTCTTTCCCTGTGCTATAAAATGCTACTTGAAGTTTTCCCTGGAAATGCTGTTCCTTTTTAAAAATCGGCTGTTTTCCTCCCTGTTTCTTCTCATTCCTGTCAAATAATGAGCATATAAAGTCCACTGGTCATTGATCATACTCAGTAAAAAACAAGGAAAATGTGTATCAAGACTTCAAGGAAGTCAAACGTACACTGCAGGAAAATTCTACACCTTCTTAAGGAAAAGATAGGAACCACGCCTTTGTATTATGACAATATTACATACAGAAGGAAGATCCAACTTCCAATTACTCCTAAGGTGAATGCACACTGGAGAAATGGCATTAGGCTCAGATGCCATTGTACTCCTGATTTCATATGGTTTGAATTCCACCTAATTCCCTGCACTTACTCTTAGCTGGCTACAGTCCTGCAGATGCAATTAAGTTGCAGAGAAAGCTCACCTCCAAACATCCTAGCTTCACAGGAGTGCGCTGGGTATTATGCTGGGACCAAGAGCAAGCCACCAACACAGTTCTCAGCCTCACTGGTGGCTAGATCCTCCTGCAGTTTCCAGTCCTGTCATCATGGGACACTGTGAAACTGCCCACATCTCAGGATCAATAGGCTGGACACCCCTGCACTAACACAGTTGTGCTGGAGTGTGCCAGCCAATATGGAAGAGCCTTGGCCAAGCCAGCAGGTTCAAAGCAGCTCCAAGGAAGGGGCAGGCAGCAGTGCATGCCCATCAGTCAAGGGATTACAGATACAACTGCCCTCACTAGTGTCCCGAGGATAATGAAGGAACCATAACATAAGAAAGGACTTGTTTTGCTCTCCATGTGCCCACAGGCCAGCTGGCACCACTAAGCATTTTCTGATCATGTGGTAGAAGGCTGTAGTTTATCAGACAGCAGAACAATTTTATAACCCAGGAATCAATCTGTGCAAGTGCTTTGTATGATCTTTTTTTCTACCGTCCTGCTCTAATGGATGTAATAAATAACATTCTGGCTTTATTGCCAATACTTAATTCTTTTGAAACATTTGAAGAGAGCTAAATTTTCCTCAGACACAGCTACCTGCACAAACATAAATCCAGCATGATCTCCAATATTGACAAGAACCTACTCTAAAGGAAAGCCTAATGCTCTGAGGATTACAGGCACATTTCCACAAACACTGACAGAACAAGGGAGTAACTGAATGTCACTGGCTCTTGAATTCTGACCCCACTTTTGTAACCATCTTACTGTCTGAACTTCAGTGAATCAAGGATTTTGCTGCTTCAGTTCCCTCCTTTGCCAAATGAGGACTAATAAAGACCAATGCATTGTGTAAAAGTTTTTCACCTTCAAAACACATTAGATATGTAAAACAAGGCAAAGATGTTGAGTACAGCTAATGAACATGTAGGTCAAGGTGACTGTTTTCCTTCATAGTGTGAATGGACTAAAACAGTAAGAAAAGGTTAATATTTGAGGGCTGCTTTTTCATTGATTTGTTGCCATCACACTATACTAGATAAACAAGGAGAGTCCTGGCTCACTGTAAAAATGGGAATTGGTATTTATTTCCTAACTGTCATTTATTTACAATAGGCTTTCTTATTATGTGCCACAAAACCCCCACAATGAACAAGATATTGCAATAATCTTTAATGTTAAGGCTACTTTACTATTCATGCTCTTGACCATTCTTGACTGTTTTGTACCACACATTATTGCTCACTCATACCCAGCTGTTCTTTCACATCTCTATTAATGACTGCAAAGTAAGGGTGACCCTTTCCCACTGTGCCTCTACAACAACCTGTATGGTGGGGATGTACTGGGTGTAGCTGGGATAGAATTAACTGCCTTCACAATAGCTCATATAGCACTGTGCTTTGCATTTGTTGTTAAAACAGTGTTGATAACACATCAATCTTTTGGCTGCTGCTGAGCAGTGCTTGCACAGCCACTAGGCTTGTGTTCTCTCTTCTCCCTCCCTCACCTCAAAGTAAGTAGGCTTGCAAGTGGGTGAGAAGCTGGGAAGGGACACAACCAGGACAGCAGGCTCCAACTGGCCAAAGGGATATTCCAGACTACATGATGTCATGTTCAGTGACAAAAGCTCAAGAAAAGGAGGTGTAAGAGGAAACGTTCAAGGCTATGACGTTTGTTTTCCCAAGCAACCATTACACATGCTGAGGTCCTCCTTTCCAGGAAGTTGCTGAATACTTGTCTGCCACTGGGGAGAAGTGAATGAATTCCTCTTTTTGCCTTGCTGGCTTGTGCTGCTTTTTCTTTCCTCATAAAATTGTCAGTATCTCGATCCATGGGTCTTTTTGCCTTCCTTCTATTTTCTCCCCATCCTTCAGGAGAGGTGAATGAGTGAGAGGCTGGGTGGGTGTTTGGCTGCTGACTGGGGTTAACCTACTGCAGATGGCCCACTCCTTGCCTGGGACTTCCAGCTGCTGCAGTAGTACAAAGAATGATATTACAAATCTTCATTGCAGAAAGGAACTGAAGGTGGTGTTTACAAATTCCAAGACCATATACTGAACTGACAGGCTGAAACTGCTGTCTTATTGTGCAACTATTAACTATGGATAATCATTTTCTTTTTCTATATAGAAATAAGATGTGAAATGCCAGCTAAACTGCAGGGAGGAAAGATAGTGTCGATAAAAAGCAAAATTGCCTCAAGGTGCCCAGCTCTAGAGAAACACTATAACTCTTATCTCAAAGATTCACCATAATACTGTGACACACACATCAACATGTATAATCTACCCAGCACTGCATTATCTTTTCATTGAATTATTTTGCCATGCAGTGTAAAACAAAAAAATCAGAGTATTTTTTTCTTTCTTGACTGTGCTCCCTCTGCTATACTCCGATAAGAAGCTGTATTGTGACTTTTTGTCTCCAGTGTTTCCTTTCTGCTCTTTATTCCCCTTTCCTCTTCTTTCAAAAAAAATATTCTTCTGCTTTATATCTCTCATTCTCTTCCACCCACATTTCCCTCTACACATGTGAATGCACCAGAATTCCACCATTAACTCATTGAATGTTTCCTAGCTTTCTTCCCCACTCCCTTGCATCGAAACGTGTGCTGCAATTAGCTAACTAAAAATTAGCACCACTCAGAGGAAAGGCCAGGGGACAGGATTCAGCACATCACTAGACCAGTACAGAGGCAGAAGGCAGCAGCTCGGGTTCGCCAGTCTCCAGTTGGTAGTGGGCAATACCTGAAAGTGCTTTTCCTTTCCATTCTTTGACAATTTAACCCTCTAGAAACAGCGTTTTTGTTTCCCTGGATGCTGTAAAACAGCATTGAGAGCTTCTCCACTGTGCTTGCGGAAGCACTGATGAACCTTTGCACTGCTTTAATGTCCCTCTTCCTAAATCTGAAAGGAGGACCATGAAATTGATAACAAATGGTTGATTTCTACTCTTAAAACTTACACAAGTTCTAGTGCAAGTAATAGTACACAAACTGTGTCTACAGATTTAGAACAAAGGACAGCACTGACTCTCATCCAGTTTTATCACAGCCTTTTTGAAACAAAACCACAATATAATAACAGCTAAATGCTTTTTGTATTTGAATGAAATAAAAGTCAAAGTTTCCAGCTTGTTTTTTGTATTTGAATGAAATAAAAGTCAAAGTTTCCAGCTTGTGACAGCAGCCAAGATAGTAAGTGGAATTTTCCACTTGCTTTTCCTAAGCAAGCCTATCAGGATAACCATGCCCTGGAGAAATGTCATTGACTGCAGCTGTACATGTCTGAATGTTACACCTCAATACAGTGAAGCAACACCCATATATTGTTAAGTACGTACTTCTAGACAGAATAGAACTTTTTTGTTTAACAGCTTCCCAAAACAGAAAGATGAGTGAAGCACAGACCAAGGCTACAACTGTAGTTCATGCAAGACTGGTTCAGCTAATTTAAGTAACAGCACTGACTGCTGCTGTAATCGAGATTTCCTTCTTCCAGGGTGGCATTGGGAATGTGAGCTGCAACAGCCAAAGCCCTTCTAGAAAAAAGAAGATAAAAACCCCAGCCCATTTAAAACTTCACTAATGACAGACTAAACCAGCTGCCTCCAAGCGCATGGCTCTGTGAAGCAGTCAGGTTTTGGTTGCACGATAATCTCTCAGCCCCTGCGTCTCGGCAGGTTTCCTTCTTGTCTGGCAGCTCAGCTAAAATAAGGAGGCTGCCTGGCCTCTGATAAGTGACTTCTTTTGTGCATCACTGTCCATGGGGCATTTATTGAAGATAAAAATGGTGGGAGGGTGAGAAAAGGCAAAATAATCTTATTCAGACCCTCTGTGGCTCAGATAAGAGACAATCCTAAATACGAGAAAGTGGTATTCTTTATCTATTAATAAGAAATTATCTGTCTGCTCAAGCACAGGCCTCAGTCAGAGGTAGAAGCATATGTGGGGTAATCACAGAGCCAGCAGATGAATGACATTATTAAAGAGCCCTTTACAGGGTGTTAGCATGGTCATTAAAAAGGCAATTCTTTGTAACGACTAGCTGCAATTAAGTCCTGCCTACCACTGACACAGTGTATGTGATACTTCAGTCCCACCACTGCCATCTTCACTAGAGTGCTGCCTCAATCTCACAGCTGCCTGAAATATGGCTGGTTATATATATATATAACACATACAATCCTCTGTGTTATTAACTGAAAGCAAAGACTCTACATTCGCATGGCAAAGAGTACACTATATTCTCATCAGGTAGTGAATTCATAAAAAAACCCCACTTAAATCAACCTAAATTTAAAATATTTCAACTGTAAAAGCATTACAGTAAGTTTCTCCTATCTGCATAAAAGATGTGCCTACAACACTCAAAATACTGCAGCAACCTAAGTGATAATTGAGTAATATCACACAAGTGCCATAGCCAAGTCACAAACAATTCCTGAAACACATGAAAATCATTGCAAAACAATATTAATATCACAGCTGACTATTAGCATGTCTGCAAAGGATTAGGAACAGATTTCTAAATGCAGCAAATGCCCTAGCAGGATTTTAACTCTGGCAAACACAGCTGCTTTCTGGTTTGGAGGCATGTGGCCAGCAGGTCAAGGGAGGTGATCCTCCCCCTCTGCTTGACCCTGGTGAGGCCACATCTGGTGTACTGTGTCTAGTTCTGGGCTCCTCAGTACAAGGAAGACAAGGAGCTACTGGAGAGGGCCCAGCAGAGAGCCAGAGATGATGAGGGGTCTGCAGCATTTCTCTTATGAAGAGAGATTGCAGGAGCTGGGTCTATATAGTCTAGAAAAGAGCAGGCTGAGAAGGGATCTCATTAATGCACATAAGTATCACAAGGATGGGTGACAGGAGGATGGTGCCAGGCTCTTTTCAGTGGTGCCCAGTGACAGGACAAGAAGCAATGGCCATAAACACACGTGAAGCTTCACCTCAACATAAGGAAGAACTTTTTTACACTGAGGGTGTCAGAGCCCTGAACAGGCTGCCCAGGGGGTTGTGGAGTCTCCCTCTCTGGAGACATTCAAACCCGCCGGGACATGTTCCTGTGTGACCCGCTCTGGATGGCCCTGCCTTGGCAGGGGGTTGGACCAGATGGATGGATCTCCAGGGGTCCCTTCCACCCCTTGTGATTCTGTAACTCTCAAACAGGTGCCTATGTCCTTCTAGACACTTGCAATAACTGAAGGTACTACTCTAGACAAAGACAGGAGACCCCTATACTCTGCAAGCACGTAGCTTTCCATCTATTACTAAGGAAGTCCTTCACTGTGCAGGCAACAGTCCCTATGTAACAGGCAGTCTCCCAACCACTCCAGTGGTATCTCCCATCTCAAATCAAGTCATAATCCCCAAACCATAAACCAACCTGCTGTTTGAGGTAACAGCAGGAACACATCCTCTATAATTGGCGTTCTCTGCAGACACACAGATACGGTCACTGACTCAGCCTGTGCTCTCTGCTCTCCTCCCATGTTGTGTACTGGTTGTGGTGCTCATTGGGAACCTGTGTCCCACACCACCAAGCCAATTGCCCATTTAGAAAAGTACTATTTGACTGCTGCAAAAAGCATGCATGCATGTGGCTCCTGCTGTAATTCACTCACTGTAGAGGAGCACCTATCTTGCTCAGTAGGGAGAATCCCTATGCCACAATTCCAAAGATTACACTGAACATTGTAAGAGACTTGAATCTCGAGTCCTTTAGCAAAAAGTGGGACTGACAATAGCAACCATAAATTGAGGGATTAATATAACCAAATCACTCCAAATTCAGAAATTGCACAATAAGCTGTGCTTGTTACCTTTTCTCCTCTGCAAGGCAGATCTTCCAACATCTAGATCCTCCTGGAGAGCTATGTTAACAGTTCTTTTGGTCTAGTAAACCCAAAAGTCATGCAGAATGACAGGAGAAAACAGTCCATAGTGTGAGTAGGTTTATGTAAACAGAGAAAGATTGCCTCAAGCAAGCACAAAAGGTGTTTCTGAGGCAAGAAAAAGACCAAGAGGAGAAGAGAAGCACAGGGCAACAAAACTGGGTTTGGTACAACATAAAAATTAAGAGGTCTTAACTGCCTTAAGGGATAGCAAGAAAGTGGCTCTTGATGGCAGAAAGGAACCCAGTAATGATGTACAGGAATATATATGCTCATGGAAGTACAAAGACACCTAGCGTATGTAAACATTACTGGAGAACTTTGAGGTTGCTGCTGCAAAAGCAGCAATAGAGCTCACCAGCCCTGGGTCTGGAGAGGGGAGCCCTCCTTGGGGCCAGGAGATGGCCGCCTCACCAGCCATACTTCCTTTAAGTTGGCTGGGAAGAAGAGCTCCTTGCAGGAACAAGGTACCTCTAAAACCATTACTCTGAAACGTTCTCGGGTATATTGTTTGCCCTTTAAAAAGTCAATAAAGCCCCATATTATCAGTAATATACAATATAGAAAGAGCTTAATCCTTAATTAGCAAACTACAGAGCTCTTGTAGGTAAAGTTCATGGCCGTCTAAAAATGGATTTACCAACCACGCATGGCGATACCACCTACAGAGAAGGAGCACATGCTGGCGGCCCAGCCAAGCCTGGCTCAGACTGGCTGACTGCTTGAAGCCCAGGGTACACAGTGCTTATTATTAACAAATACCCACCAATCTTGCACAGCAAGCTGCAAAGTTTGCCCTTGACATGGATATCCAACACATATCTAACAGCATACATAGAATCAGAGAGAATCAGAGAATCAGCTAGGTTGGGAAAGACCTTTAAGATCATCAAGTCCAACCTTTACGCCAGGACTGCCAAGTCCACCACTAGACCATACAGGTACTTAAACAGGAACATAAAACACAAACCAGTACCTCATGGCAACTATAATTCTAGTAACCTATTGATCCAGATGCACAAGAAATGAAAAGCATATGCAACCTCATCTGCCTGAAAACTGTTACTGATAAAGAATACCTCAGGAACCATCTAGTGAAGTCTCAGTGCCTCTGCCTGCTAACCCGCAGCAGGCAATCTATTCATCACCTGCCCTTACAGATGCTGCTCACAACACACCCCCTTCTCAGTGTCTGAGGCATTTATTGCTTGACTGGTTCAAATCTTCAGTTAACACCTGCCATAGCTCTCCCTGCCCCAGAGAACACCACACTGACAGCAGTTTAAAAGTTCATATCTGTCATCTCCAGCAAAGGCTTTGTTAGCCATGGCAACAGAGCCTTGAGCAAGGTCTCCTTGAATCAGAGGAAGACCTGCTTATATGGCTGAAGACCATGTTGGTAGCTGTGCTGGCACATCATAATGATTATCAGGAAAAAACAGGTGAGAGTTCCTGAAAATGCTAACATCATGACAATTTCCAGACCAAAAGGCATCATCACAACCTGGCTGCTGGATCAGGATGGGCCTTAGCACACAAAAGAATGACCTTTTCTAAGTGCAAACACTTGATGCTTGGTGAGGTGCCAGAGAAGTGAAGGGTGATGAATGAGGGGGGGAATATGAGAACAGATGAGATTCCCCAGTGGCACTGTCACAGCTGACAGCTTTCAGTGTCTGCCTGGAGACTGGCAGGGCTCTCGAACACACTGGGACAGCACTCTTGTGCCTACTAGGAAACTTCACTCAAGCAATCTATGAAAGGCTCAATTAGCCAGCAGGTGACGAGCAGCAACTGGGGACTGTGTTTTTCCCCAATGGATAAGGGAGCTCTTGAAGTGGTCTTTCCAGAGCATGCTTACAGACTTGCAGGGAAGTATGCTAAGCTGTTCAGGAGT